AGAAATGGATGATGCGGGGCCTGGCCTGAGCTTGGCTTCAGCCTACATCATGCCGGTAAGTTTGCATGTGGTGCGCTGGGACTTTACTACTCAGACTCATAAAAGAGCTGGGCACCATTCCCAGAACATTGCTAACTTTTCCTTTTCCTTCTTTGGTCCACATGTTATAATCGTATTTTTTCCCCAAAGCCATTTTCAACTCAAGAAGTGGAGAGAATATGGAGTCCACGTGTTACCCAGGTTTAGAACTAGTTTTCTCCCAACAGTGTTTTTCTGATAAATGGCTAGGGAAACAGTAGAGGTTTACAGGATGTATAAGGATGACCTGCCTCAGGCCAAGAGGAATGAATGCCAACTCTGCACCTGGAATGGGGTGCTATTCTACTCCAGGAGGTTTTAGCCAAACATGGATCCCAGACCCGCCCCCATCTTTGTTCTTACCGAAGAATCACGGTAGGATGTCTGCTGTCAGTTAACTCAACTTTCTTTCTCTGTACCCCAAAAGTTGTGGGAACCATCTTCATCAACACCCCCTTCCCTCCATCTCTATTTTCCTATAAGCTGCACCCAGTGTTTGTGTCCTGGATACCATGCTGTGGGATGGTCTGTATGTCAAATTGCTCTGATTGGTTAATAAATAAAACACTGATTGGCCAGTGGCCAGGCAGGAAGTAGGCAGGACAAGGAGAGAGGAGAATTCTGGGAAGTGGAAGGCTGAGGCAGAGAGACACTGCCAGCCGCTGCCATGACAAGCAGCATGTGAAGATGCTGGTAAGCCACGAGCCATGTGGCAAGGTATAGATTTATAAAAATGGATTAATTTAAGATATAAGAACAGTTAGCAAGAAGCCTGCCATGGCCATACAGTTTGTAAGCAATATAAGTCTCTGTGTTTACTTGGTTGGGTCTGAGCGGCTGTGGGACTGGAGGGTGACAGAGATTTGTCCTGACTGTGGGCCAGCAGGAAAACTCTAGCTACAGTACCATGTCTTCCCTGTCCGATTAGGAGTATGATTCACTCGGGCACTTGTCAGGATGGATGCAGGGTTTTGGAATCCTAACTCTCTCCTCTCTGGCCCACAAACACAATGTTGTCTGCTTCCTCGGGACTGTTCCTTGAGGTTCAGCAGCCTGGGCTGCAGTTATCTTCTCAGCTCTGAGCTTGGAGCCACCCACAGGGCAAAGCCAGGAGCGGAAAAACAGACACCTGGGAAATGCATTTCTTGCAAGTCACTTCTCCAAGTTTCAGTTTCCCTTCACAGTCTGCAGGCTTTGACCTAGTTTCCAGATTTCTCTCTAGTGTAGCATCCCTTCATCTCTGAGGGAAACAGGTCATCCTCATTTCACCTCTCCTTGGGGTCCCTGCTCTTGGCCTTTAAGCAAATGACCCCACTCACCCCTTTCTAGGAACATCCTTCTCTCTACCTTGCCTCCTTACCAGCTCACCATCCTATTTTTTCTTCCCTTTCCTTGCTAAAATCCTTGGAAATGAACTTTCCACATGAGCTTAGACTCTGTAACGGGTATGAGCAAGCCCACCATGGCCTCTCTTTTGCACTGATTTGAACTCTAAACTCTAGACAACATGCAAAAATCAAATTCTTTGGTTCCCTGAAAATTAAGCTGAAGAAGTTGAAGCTCGGAGAGATGACATATAAGACAATCGTTTTCCAATTGCCTTTTCTGCATTTTCTTATGGCTTTGCCTGGGGAGCTGCAAGCATAGCTTGGAAGAGGTCCGCTGTTTAGGCTGATAAAATCAAGGTAATACCCAAGTTTCTGGACAAAGGGGATGGGGAGGAGAGGCCTGATGTGCTAGCGAATGTGGAGAAGAGAGAGCATAAGAAGAGAATTCCATAATTCTGTTTATGAACCTACTAAGTGAGAGGCCTAACCCACTAAGTGCAAGGCCCAACCTAGCAGCAAAGGCTATGGAAACTGAACTAAACAGTCAGCCACCTTGCAGTTAATCCTGGCAAGGCATATGCTTGAGGCATACCAAAGGTTTGAAAGGTTGAATGCATTAGAATCACCACCCACAGGAGAACTTTTTGTGAGAACTTAACTTAGTTGGTTGCCTAATTAATCAAGCAAAACCCCATTTCACACACACACACACACACACACACACACACACACACACACACACACAATCATTATATAATGATAATCTATGGGCATTATAATATAATGATAATCTATGCTCCAGGATGTTGACAATGTCTTTGCACTGCCTGTGCCTAGAACAGACCAATTTCCAAGGGAAATCACAGTGATAGGTGCCATTCGAAGATGACCCAGATGTTAAAATCCTCGGGCAGAGGTTATACAGCAGCCTCCATCACCATGGTCCATGAGGCACAGTTAAACATCCTTTCGAAGGATGGAAGGAAATGAATTCTCTGCAGAGAGGCGGAAAGCATAGAAGGGACTTAATGAAAACAATAGAGCTGAAAAACATACCTGAGATTAGAAGAAAAACAAACAAACAACTATTGGAAAAGTCCAAGAGAAGAAGAGAAATGACAGAGAACATAGTGTAGAGTTAAAGACGGGTCAACAGAAGTGATCCCATGTGAGGCCAGAGATCCAACATTAGAAGTAATATGGGGCCTTGGGGCGGTAGAAACTATCAAATGCTCTCACATGTCTGTCACTGGAATTTCAGAAAAGTGTGAGAAGCAAATTGGAGATGAAAACTTCTACAGTTGGACAAAGGTAATATAAACAAAAAATAGCTATGTTTTTTATTTATTTAATGTGCACGTGTGTGTGGGCATGGGCATGTGCTTGCTACAGAGTGCAAATGTAGGTCAGAAGCTAGCTTATGGCCATTGCATCTCTCCCACTGTGTGGGTCTTGGGGACTGAACTCAAGTCTTCACAGTTGGCAGCAGGTGATGTTACCCACTGAGCAATCTTGCCAGCCCTGGAAAAGGTAAAGTAATGATTAAAGTAATTTTATAGAGCATAGCAATTAAGTGAATAATACAATGGGGTTAAGCAGAAAGGAAATTATGTCTGATAGATAATAATCAAAAAGTGTTAAAAACCAAAGATTAAAAACAATATTATATATATACACATATATACATACCTATATAGAGGGATACACACACACACACACACACACACACACATATATATATATATATATATATATACATACATGCATATACATATACACACATATATGGAGAGAGAGAGAGAGAGAGAGAGAGAGAGAGAGAGAGAGAGAGAGAGAGCTTGAATTGAAAGCTGCTAGGAAAAACGACATATTGCATATATTGCATACAGGGAAATAATGAACCAATGGGCTGTGACTGTTTTATCAGAAACCTTGGTGGTCTGGAGACAGTGAATTAATGCCTTCTGTATTGAAAGCCCAAGAATCATTCAGGGCTAATATCTAAGAGACAGCTTGGCATGGAGGCGGATTAGAGAAATAAGGTTCAGGACCAGGAAGTGGGACAGAAATGTGGGGGTTAGAAATGGGTTGTTCATGGAGGATTGACTGGCACTCTGAAGGTCAGATTGTCAAATCTCAGAAGGCAAGCACACCCACACCTGTGCACACCCACACCTGTGCACACACAGAGTCTGAAATGGGGACAGCAGCCATCAAACAGCCACAGCTGAAGGAGAGCAGGGTCCTGGGACTGTCAAACCTGGCTGGACAGGAGCCCTCTCTCAAGCATATTCCACAAAGTCTCCCCTTTTGTTCACACAGTTCCCTTGGTCTTTGTGTCCTGCTCTCTTGATTCAATACGCTCAATTCTTACTTAACTCAGTGGCCTTGTTCATACGCAGTCTCACTTACTCTATAGAAAAGAATGCATTGGATACTTCTGATGTACCCAGGAGCTGAACCTGCCCATACAGATTTCCAAGATCTTCCTACTGAAAACCCTGAAAGCCACTTACCCACTGAGTCTTCAGATCAATTCATTAAACTCATTATTTGCATTAGTTAGAGATATACCTGTGCACTCTGTATTACCTGCGAATATCAGCTACTCACTGGGTTACAGTGTCCACTAAAGTCACTTAAAGACATTCATTTTTGGGTTGATAAGATGGCTCAGCCAGTAAAGGCACTTACCTTCAAGGTGACCTGAGTTACATCCCTGGGACAGACATGGTAGAAAGAGATAACTAACTCCCCTGAGTTGTCCTATGATCTCCACTCATGTACTAAGGCTTACAATAACCCCTCTATCCCACACAGTAAATATATGTAATAAAACATTTAAAGTCATTCATTGTTTTAGAACATCTAGTGGAAAAAACCTTTTTGCTCCTTCTAAAACCATTGGAATACTATCAATAATAAAGAGTAATATGAATTCTTTGTAGTTTTAAAAATCAATAAAACAATTCTTAACTCTAATTAGAAAATGATAGAAAAATTAAAAAATAAATGCACTGATATTTCCTAGTTATTTATTATTATTTTTTGGATGTATCCATGCTCTGAAGAGCCACAGAATACTTAATGATGAGAACTCAGGACTGAGGGCTTAGCTTAACAGTAGAGTGTTGGTCTAACACTCATGGAGCCTTGGGTTTGAGCTCTAGCATGGCAGAAACATAAAGCCCAAACTCTTGTTTTAGAAAGTAAAACATGGAGAGTTCAAGAGTCTCCCCCTAAGACTATACTAATTGAACTCAAATAAAATCCAGACTTTCTGGACTGCCTGAGGTTCACATTTCCATTAACTTGATACTGCGTATGAGGGGCAGACTGAGGTATGGTAGTACCAGAAGCCTGTAAGACCAGAGTCCAGCGGAGTTAGCCTGGAGGGTGGCTGACATCAGTGACGAGGCTGGTCATCTCCTCCCAGAAGATTAAGATGCTCTTCTGAAAGTTGCCTTGTCACTCAGCAAGCTCTTCCTGCGTGTCTGTGGCTGAGCACACCAGCCACTCCTACCTCACCACCCACTTATTCTATTCACAGTTTATAAACCCATCGCTTAAAAGACCAAAGAGTTCACAGGGAGCTGGTTATGAAACAAGAGGAAAAGCATAGTTGGAAAGAAAAGTGCGTGTCTGATCTCAGTTCTATCAAAAACCAAGACAAGAACAAGGCAAATGCTTTAGAACCTCCTGCTTCAGTGTCTTCACTTGTAAAATGATGTCGGAAAACCTAGTTGCCATGGATACGGAGGTAGGCTACAAATCAACTGGCTACTAAGTAAAAGACGAGGTTCCAGTAGAAACAAAAGTGTGTGTTGTGTGTGTTGTGAGTGTGTGTGTGTGGCGGGGGCATTATAAAAGTTTTAAGCAGAAAAGAAAGAAAACTAAAAAGATAATCTTTAAGAAGTTGATTTTCTTTCTTAGTCATCCCTAAAGTAAGAGGGCCAAGGTGATACTGTCAGCGCTTAACTCGGAATAGATGAAAGGTTCGAAGAAGAAGAAGAAGGCAGATCTATTGGGGGGAAAAGTCTGGAAATAACCCGCCACTGATGTTCAAAAGTCACGAGGTCATCATTCATCTTTATAAAAAGACACAGAGGAACAAAGACAAGTGCGGGAAGAGCTTGCCTTTACATAACAGCTGCACAGGGAAAGAAATAGCTCTCCTTCCTCAGGCCGGCAGCCCCACAGCTAAATGGAAAGCTTTGAGAAACAGCCTATGCAATGCTGTTTCTCGATTCAACAAATGCTTGTAGACATCATGAGAGTCCTTTTGATAGAGATATAAAGATTTATCATTTTCTTCCAAATTCTTTTTTTTTCAAGTTTCCCAAATCCTGCAGTCTAGTCTGTGTTGACCTAAGATCAACCCAAGCAAGCACATCACCATTTTGAAAGTTTGTACCTATTTTTGCTGCCCTGGACTTCATTTATTTCTGAGACAGTGTCTCACTTTGTCTCCGAGGTTGGCTTTGAACTCACAATGATCCCTCTGCCTTGGCCTCCCTGTTACTGGAATTATAGCTGTATGCCACCACCCCACTTGGCTAGACTTTCGTATTTATTGACCTCTGTACAAGGCAGTGCATTATTCTAGTAATAGTCAACATTGCCAACGCTCCCTGCTCTTCCTCTGGCACTTGAACATGATTGCCTTCTTAATATTCTATTACACTGTGAATATATGGACACATTGTTAAATAAAAAGAAAATTACTGAGTTCATCTAGAAGTCCCCTGTCATGGAAGTATCATTAATTAATGACATCAGTATTGTGTAAGAGTTCCAGGTCATGGGGGTCACAGAATCACCTGTGGTAAGGATAAAATACCTTCAAAAGCTTTTGATCACCTAAAACTTTTTGCAAAATTTAAATTGTACACCACTACACACAAACATTTAATATTAGAGTAGTGTTTTCCCCTCATATTTCCCCAGTAACCTGGAATTCCAAGGCTTGAGAGATGGCTCAATGGTTAAGAACACTTGCTGTTCTTCCAAGGCATCGGAGTTTGGTTCCCAGAACCCACATCAGATGGATCACAATTGCTGTAACTCTAGCTCCAGGGGACCCAATACTATCTTCTGGTCTCTGCAGGCATCTCCACATGTGGTATACACACACACACACACACACACACACACACACACACACACACACACACGGGATTGCATGCACAATAACCACAGAAACAAATCTTTAAAATGGCACTGCACCCTCCAGTATAGTAAAACATGGAAAGAAAACCCACAATAGTTTTGGTCTAGTCTTCTGGCTATTTTAAGACAAATTTGTTTTGTTGTGTTTTCTTTTTTGAATTATCCTCCAAACCAGTTTTGCACTTTGCAAAAGTGTAATATTACTAAGACAATCCTATATTTTCAATTAACTTGTGGGTTTTTATAGGGCAGGAATACCATTTAAGTATTCTTATTCTCTAAGGGAAAACCAAAGAGGGGGATTTTCTCCTGAGGTTTCAATTGCAGCTCAGGGTGAATGGAAAAAAAATCACATCTCACTTAGGTCTGTACGGCTATTTGTGAGTGGAAAATACTTTAAATTATTTCATCGGTATATCCAAGAAATTCTGGCAAAAATCCCAACTTGATTCTTTTCAATAAATGTGAGTTTTGTCATCCACACAGGAAATTGTTCAGCTCATATTTCCACAGAGGTGATTAAGATCCATTATAGAAAGGGCTCACTGCAGCATTCTGGGGAACTATAAGGAAATGGACACAAGTTAAATACTTCTCAGCATGTGTCTCCTTTACTTTTGTGTTGCTGTGATAAAACGCTGAGCAAAAGCAACTTGCAGAGGGACAGATTTACTTGGCTTACCCTTCCCTCTAGGTCAGAATCCACCCCTGAGGGAGGTCAAGCAGGAGCTGAAACAGATATCACGAAGGAACAGGCTTCACTGGCTTCCTCCCAGGCTCATGGCCAGCTAGTATTCTCGTTATAGCCCAGGAACCCCTTGTCAGGAATGGCACTTATCATGGTGAGCTGTGTCCCCCCCCCCCCACATTAACCAGCAACAAGACAGCTCCTTGCAGACATGGCCACAGGCTATTCTGATCTGGGCAGTGCCCCAGGGGAGGTATTACCTCATTTATCCCAAGTTGACAGCCAAAGATAACTTAGACAATAGGGTAATAGTTTAAGAAATTTGGATACATCTGAATTATTTAATGGCAATCTCTATGGAAAATGTCTAAGATCCACTGTTCGTTAGAAGTATCAAGTTACAGGTATTCAGTGTACTTTTGCTTGTGGCAAGCTTACAAAGATTATACCGTATATGTGAATTAGGGGGCCCATCAAATGAATTATGAAACTTCAGGAGACTCTAGGAGATGATGTGGGTAAACCCAGGCTGGAAGGGAACTTGTCTCAAGTGCCCAAGATACACCTAAAAATCCCTGGTCTGTATATGCAGATGTAGTAGAGGAAAACAAGTCAGAGTAGCTTCTGGCTGCATATCTCACTTTTCCCAGGATCAATGACCTTCAGGTCCTCAGCCCATGGGGTTAAGGCTAGTTTCCAGTGTTCTTTGTGGTCATGAGAAGGAAGTCATGCATCTGCCTTCATCATGATGTTCTCTGCTAAGACTCTATCACATTTCAAACTGACTACCACCCAGCTGCCCACAGTATCAGTTGCTGGTTGATTTAACAAAGCTTCTGCATCCAGGAATGGATAACAAGAGGGAGGAGCCATGCTCCTACCAGTGTGCTCCTAGAATAACCCAGTTTCTTCTTACTTCCATCACTTTCATTAATTATTTCATAAAGATATCCAAAGTTAAGGGAAGGTAAGCTAAAACCTAATTAACTCTTAACCAGAAGTTTCTTTTTTGTTTTTTCACACTTGCTTGGAACGATGTATTATCCGTTAGTAAGTAGTATAAGCAATTATCTTTTGCGTGGAACTGGTGTATTTTAGGCAACCCCACTGAAATGGCGTAAACAACATTTCCTGTGTCAAAAGCAGAGATCCAAGTCTGTTTTAGAATGGTCCTCAATCTCCATCTCTTATAATTCCTACCAATAACTTGTCTTTTTATATACGCTGGCATCCGTGTGGAAGACAGCATCCCACATTGACCAAGTCTCCATCTGGTGACAGACGGGGAAACAGGAACGTAGACTGTCACTTTATGCAGATGGATTTCTATTAATACAAGCAAGTGACCCTAAAAGAGAAATCGGCTATCTCCAGCATAGCTTGCAGGAGATGGTTCTGCATTTCCTGAAAACAGGTTATTTCTAAATACACGGTGCCTCCTTTCGAACACTGCCTGGGCATTCTGTCCTTCTAAGAGCAGATTTTTTTTTATTTTTATTTTTTACCCCCAAGTGGATCTTTGGTTCTCTATCTCTTCCCTTTGAAGAGGATGCAAAGGATATGAAAGGGAGGAAGGAGGTTGCAGGGTAACAATGAGAACAACAGGTGTCTTGTGGGGAAAGCCCCAAGTTTTTCTGGTCACTGTTCTGGATCCAAGTGTTAGAGGTAGGTGTGGATGTGTGGGAGAGGATGAAGATAAAGTGGTTTGATTCATCGTGTCTATTTGTCTTCCCTTCCTTCACCATGAAAACAAATAGCTTTAAATATGATCAAGGACACACACCAGGTAAATTTACATTTTAAAAATGTATGCAAGTGACCCCTTATTATTATGGTTTAAGAATGAAACGTTCCCATAGACTCGTGTTTTGAATTCTTAGTTCACCATCTGTTTAGGGAGGCTCTAGAAACTAGGAGTCAGGGCCTACCTGGAGGAAGTAGGTCACTGGATGTAGGTTCACAGGGCTCTATTACCACTGGCCACTTTCTGTCTCACTATGCTTCCTGGTTGGTTACGATGTGAACAGCTCTCTTCTACCATGTATTCCCATCACCATGTTCTACACAAGCACAGGAACCAAGGAGCCAGGGACTGGAGCTTCTGAACCTGTGAGCTAGAATACATCTTTCTTCCACTGAGTCATGTATTTTGCCACAGTGATGGGAAAAGTGGTGAAGCATCCCTTAGTAAACACTAATAAGGTGTTAAGCGATAACCTCTTTAGCTTTCAGTGACCTCTCATGGCTGATCATGACCAGGAGGACTCCACCTGAACTATGGAAAGGCTCGTCAGAGAACCATTCCTGATGACATACAACCTGTCAATAGAGACAGAAGTATGGGACATCCGTGCAACAACATACTACCCTATGGGAGCCAGTAAGATGACCCAGCATGTAAAAACACTTGCTGTGTGAACCTGAGGACCCAGGTTCCATCTCCAGATCCTACCTTGGATAACTTCTTGTCAACCTAACACAAGCTAGAGTCATTTGGGAAGAGGGATTTTAAATTGAGAAAACGCCTCCATCACATCGACCTATATGTAAGTCTGTTGTGATATTGTCTTGATTAACGATTGATGTGGGAGCCCACTCTGCACAGGTTCTGTGTTTTATAAGAAAGTAGGCTAAAGGACCGGGCAGCAGTGGCACATGCCTTTATTTCCAGCACTCAGGGGGCAGAGTCAGGTAGATCTCTATGAGTTCAAGGCCAGCCTGGTCTACAGAGCTAGATCCAGGACAGGCACCAAAACTACATGGAGAAACCCTGTCTCGAAAAAACAAAACAAAACAAAACAAAAAACCAAAACAAAACAAAAAAAGAAAGGCTAAGAAATCCATGAAGAGCAAGCCAGTAATTGTATTCTTCTGTGGCTTCTGCTTCAGTTCCTGCCTTGAGTTCCTGTCCTGACTTCCTTAGATGATGGACTATGATGTGGGAGTGTAAGACCTTGTTAACCCATTCCTCCCTGAGTTGCTTTTGGTCATGGTGTTGTATCACAGCTATAGAAACTTAACTAAGCACCCATACTATATAACCCAGCTTCTTAATATTCATTTTTGTAGCACTCAGTACTGCTGAAAAGGGTATAAAGGCATGCTTTATCAACAGAAATAGAGTTTATATATTATATACATCATGACAGAATGAGTTGGCATAATTTTAAACAGAGAAAAAGGAAATTTTCAGGTTATAAAATCTCTCCTTCCCAGAACAAACTGTCCTTTAGAAAATCACTTATCAGCTGAGCGGTGGTGGAGCATGCCTTTAATCCCAGTACTCGAGAGGCAGAGGCAGGTGGATATCTGTGAGTCAGAGGCCAGCCTGGTCTACAGAGCTAGTTCTAGGGCAGCCAAGGATGCCAAAAAAGAAAATCACTTCTCTAAATGAATCAATGAGATGAAAGTAATCAGTGGGTAATACTATCTAAGTCTCATTCCCACTTTACTAATCAAGCTTTAATTTACATTTTATTTATTTAATGTGTATGTCCATGGTGTGTGTATGTATGCGCCATGGGGCATGCACAGAGGTCAAAGAATAACTCGTGGGAATCAGTGCCCTCCTTCCACCATGTAGGCCCTGAATGTGGAACTCAGATCATCAAGTTTAGCAGCCAGTGCCCTTGTCCACTTAGACATCTCATCAGTCACTGAAATATTTTTTACTGTATATTAACTGTAAAATATCACCATGACATGGTCATACATGCATGCAATGTGCTTTGATCATATTTACCCCTCTCGATTACTCTTTCTTATCTTCCCTTCTAGTTCAGCCCCTGCCCCCCACAAGTTTCTGACCATCTCTCTCTTTTAATTCAATATCTTTTTCCCTCTTAGATTCCAGATATGAGAGAAAACATGAGATGCCTCCCCCAAGTTTATTGAAATAGAATTCTCATATCAAAATGTTCAGGGTTTTTTATCATAAAATTCAGTGTTTGCAGTTTGTTTACAGAGCTATGCACTGCTATGATTTTTCACATTTCCCAAATTGTGTGACCATTATCAAATATTCTCTACTGTTTCATGCATTCCCTCCCACTGCTGAGAATCGCCAACCTTCTCTCTCTCTCTGTAGATTTGCCTAAAATGGAATTTTTGTCGAAAATGGATCCGTGCAAAATATGGCCTTTGTGACTGGCTCCTTTTGTTTAGCATAATTTGTGAAGGTTATTGCCTCTGTTGCTTGCTTTATAAAGTGCTTCAAATCTTCCTGTAAAATAGCAGGCCACAAATGAGACATAACACATTTTGTCTGTGCATCTGTTGATGCTCACTCTTGCCTCTCGACTTTCTGACTATTGTACATAATCCTGCTGTAAACACACAAGTGCATTTTTTACGGACTCATTGTCTGTGCATCTGTGTGTGTTCAGTTATGTGTGTTAGCCTGTGTCTGTGCAGGTGTCCTCGGAGCCTAGAAGGAATCAGATCCCCTGATGCTGGAGTTACAGAGGGTTGAATTGCCTGATGTCAGTGCTGGGCATTGAACCCAGGTCCTCTGCAAGAGCAGTACATGTTCTTAACCACTACACTACCTCCCTAACCCCACAACTATGTATGTCGTGGTTTTTTTTTTTTTTCCGGGACACATTCCTTCATCTTTCTTAGTTATACACCCAGGAGTGGAATTACTGGCTCATATAGTAACTCTGTGTAACTCTATGTGTAAAGGTTGAAGAAAGTGCCAAAGTATTTTCCCAAAGTGCTTCCATGATGTTACAATCCCACCGGCAATGTATTAGGATTTGTTGTTGTTTTGCTTTGGGTTCTGAGGTAGGATCTCATTCTGCTTCTGATCTCATGTTGGCCTCCAACTTGTTATAATAGTCAAGGGCAGTCTGGAATGCCCAGACCTCTGGCCTCTTCTTATTACTGAATTGTAAGAGCTCTTTGTATATTTTAGACCCACATTCTTTATCATATATATAAGATTAGCAATCTTTTCCCCATTCTGTGAATTGTGTTTTTTTTTTTAACTTTCTTGGTTGTATGTTTGAAACACAGAAATTTTTATTAATTCCAAATATATACAACACACACACACACACACACACTCACACACACACACACACCTGAATAGAGTCTCATGTAGCCCAGACTGGCTTTGAACTATGTAGCTGAGGGTGACCTTGAACTCTGCTCCTCCTACCCTCAGCTCCTGTGTGCTTGGATCACAGGTGTGAGCCACTACATCCAGTTTTACGGGGTACGAGGGGTGGAACCCAGGGCTTCATTCACATGAGGCAAATGTTCTACCAACTGAGTGACACTCGAGTCCTTACTTTCTTCTTTTGTGGTTTGAGTAGCACTTCTAAAAAAAAAGTGACTGCCTATTCTAAGATCACAAAAATTTATGCCTCTGTTTTCTTTAAAAACTTTTATAGTTAGTTCTTATTTTTTGTTCTGTCATTCGTTTTGAGTGAAAAAATATGAGTGATAAAGGGTCCAACTTCTCTATTTGCTATCCTAGAACGTAAGCACTGGAGTTCAGTGTGTCCTTCCCCTGCTGAGTGGCCTTGGTGTCCTGTTTGAAAGTCAGTTGAGCATAAATGTGCAAGTTTGACTCTGGATTCTCAGTCCTGTCCCACTGACCGATGTGTCCAGCCTGGTGTCAACACTTCATGTCTTAATTCTTGTCTCTTGGTGTGAAGCCTGTACTTCTTTCTTGGAGTGATTTGGGCTACTGTGGGTCCTTTGAGTTTCCACATGAACTTTAGGGGCTAGAAATGGTAGTTGTTCCTCTGGCTGAGTGTGCATTGCAGCTGTGGGAAGCTAGGTAACAGGTCCACCCTGTCAGTGCTGAGGGTCCGGGAGCACAGGACTTCTGCCTTTAGCCGAGTCTCGTTGCTTCTCCTAACCATGTTCCCTAGTTCGCAGTAAGTTTCATACTTCTTTTATTATTTATCCATCAATACTTTACTATTTTAGATGCTATTGGAAATGGATTCAAACTGAGTCCTTTTTCTAAAATTGCAATTGTTTTACAGCAAAGACACATTCCCTAATAATTAGAAAACAAGGAAAATAATCATTTTAGTTTTGTGAAGATCTGGGGATCCCAGACCTGCTTTCCCTGAGGATGTTTTTTAGTGTTGGAATTTGATTTCGGTTTGACTGTAACAGTTGAAGTTAAAGAAATTGGCCTCACTCTTAACTCACATTTAGCATATCTTAAAGTTAGAAAGGACAAATTTGTTATGCAAAACCTCTCAGGATTTTAAGGATACAGCTTAATGAAAGTGATGTTTTATTGGAAATTTGCTTAACAAAATTTTGCTCCATATCCTCGAGTCTATAAAACAAATCAGAAGAAAGACCCTTTTGTACCCTATCAGTAGGGAGGTATGGGAGATTGCTTCAGTAAAAAGGGAAGCCCCACACTTGCTTGTTTCAAATCTCCAACGCAGCTGTCCTAAGTGGAAGTGTAGCTGAAGCAGGGGCCCAGGCCCCCACCTTGCCTTAGGCTGCCAGACACCTTCCCATTGCAGTTTGAACATTCTCCATTTTAATCACACCGTGGACTGAATCATCAAGGCCCTTGGAGATTTCCTTTGTGAACCTCATCCAAACACTTCCCTCTACCATGTAAACCTGCTCAGTGGAGAGCTGTTTGTTTGTCTGATTAATTACTAGTTTTAAGTTGATAGAACTTGGAGATGTTAGTGTCTGGGCTCACTCACTGCTATTAGTGCACTGAGATGTGTTTGGTGGATCCAAACAGTCATTTTAACAGATCTGAAAGATCCTCCAACCGTAGAACTAGTCTCCTTGACTCAGCAGGTAAAAGGGCTTGCAGCCAAGTCTGATGACAGGAGTTTGGTCCCTGGTTCCCACGTGGTAGAATAGGACTAACTCCCACAAATTGGCCTCTGACCTCTGCACACACCGTTGTCAGCTCCATCAAGCTTTTGAACACAAGCACACGTGTACGCATGCACGCATGTACAAAGTAAATAAATAAAAATTCACAGCCTGAAAAATTTAAGAGGAGGAAGTGGTCCCCCTAGGAAATGCTAATCCTGCTAAAATCAAAGCTTCTGGCAAGAAAAATCATCCTCCTTCCTCCAGTCCCACAAACTGAACAAGAGCTATAGCTTTTCACCCAGTTCCACAACTGAACAAGAGCCTAGTTGCAATGGATGCAATCCCTTCTCTCTAAACCTCAACTTTAAAAGTAAGTTTCACATAACAACTTGCATGCCTTCTTGTATTACTGTGCAAAACAAGCAAACAGAAAACTTCTCTAGGATGGCGGTAGACCCAGTGCATCTTCAAGACAGAGGCAGACATTGCCTGGGTACCATTCTTAGCAAAAAAAAAAAAGCACTCCTTTCTTACAGAAACAAGAAAGAACCTAACCAGCATGCTGACGCTCTCTGAGGAATGTCAATTTCATATCCAAGAAATGCTTAGCTCATCTCCCAAGAACGGAAACCGAGTCAACATGAGGAAGAAGAGGCCAAAATTTTCTGAGTGTCCTGTTGAGAGCAAGCCAAAGGCTGTCTCCTGCTTGAAGGAGAACAGAGCAACATGG